GTTAGCGTTGATCTCATCCATGTCAGCACACCACGGCAAGACATGTGAGCAGTATTCCCCAAAGCGGCGGTTGCAATTATCGCTGGTTTCCTGCTCCAGTGGAACGGAAAAAGGAGAAAGTCTATAGGAATAATATAGCAATGCGATATTAGTGAGTGAAACCTTTTTAAAAAAGTAGTTGCAGCAAGTCCAAAATTATCAAAAATGGGAAAACAATGAAGGAAGTATGATGACCAGCTAAAACTACAACCGACAGGGAGCAGATTTGGAAAAATCTATTTATCTAAAGTAGTGCTTTGCTTTGTTTGCGTTTTCATGAAATATTCAAAAACACACATAAAATGAATGAATGGACATGTTGGGAAAACGATCACTGGAAGGTTACGCATTTCATTATCTGATAAACTGTTGATACCAATGCCTTGGCTTTAGTACTTTCATCATAAACGTAGATATTTCTACTTGCATATATTCTTATGAACGCTCATCTAAAATTTTAAGAGGATCAGACACTAGAAAAATGAAATACAATAGACATGGAAATGCTCGGGATGAATTCTCTTATACATGTCAAAAAAAATGCCATCCAGATATAGCAGGATGACTCACATAGCAGGACAAACAAGTGAAGATAGCTAAACCATCATCAGGTACAATGAGAAATGTGAAATAAGTTGACGAAAAATAACAAAGTTATAAGTGATCATTGAAGCGAAAGCAGTCCGAAAAATGTAGGAAAAAAAATGACCTCGATCCTTTGGCGGAAGTATAAGGGATTCTGGCGATTTATTACTTTAAGCGATGCAATTTTTATCAAGAGAAGTTAATCAAACTTATCCTAAGCGACAAATACACATAGAAAAATCTTAAAAGATCCCATCTGCTATGGCACAATAGCTAAACATGATTATCTTTTCGAAATAATAATAATTGCGAACCTATCTTAATACGGTTTGCATTATACGTTAAGCATTTTAAACGAGTAGTTCTACGTCTGTAGAGGGAAAGGTAATTCAGGCAAGTCACCCCCAGATTTCACTGTGCACTCTAAAGGTGTTGTGCATACGCCTTATGTAACGCAAGAAGGAGGTCCATACAAAGCCCCACGAACTGGTCAACACACTTGGTGGCCGGTGCTACGACACGAAGCATCGACGCGACCGCTTCCTCAGGAAGCCCTGCGACCTCCCTTACTCCTGGGCTATCCCCATCCACAGAGCGTGATATACTTTGAGAGAGTCCCATGAGTTGCTTCTGCAGCTTTTTATCTCGATCAAAGACCACTGCATCTGCCGCCTGCTTTTCCATACTTTGGAACACGACCTGCATGCCGTTGTAAGTGCAGCCGGATACATGAGTCTTGCGCTCGATTGCACCCCGAATTTCGTTCAACAGGTCCTCAGTCAAGGGGACGGTGTGGGTACAATTTCCACCAGGTGCATCTGTGTCTACTGTATCGTAGCTGATCTCATCGTGCAAGACGACATTTGTTTTCATAGAATTTGTTGTAACAAGGCGCGCTTTTAGTACCTCCCGTTCGCGCTGCAAATCAATAATTGTGTTGATCATCTGCAAATTTTCCTTGGCAAGTTCCACGACCGAGTTGCCTATCGAGGTTCTCGACAACTGATCCGTTTCGAATAGGCCCGTCTTTGCATGCACGCTCGATGAATGGGAAGTTGCGCCAGAGCATTGTTTCCTCATCACACTCCAGCCGCTGGTAATAGAATTTGATTCTGTAGGGATCCGAGACTCTATTTCCCGAGGTATTGCTCTAAATTAACCGGCCCTTTCTAGCGTTTGGCTCGACGTTTCCGTTGAAATCTAAGGAAAGCTTGACAAGTATAAGGGTGAAAAGTGAAAGCTGGAGGAAGATGAGAAATCGTTATTTTGTGAAATCTGCCTTATACACTTGCCAAAGACCCTCCCGTTATGAGGAAGATGAACTGCATAAATTAAGATAAGTATATATTAGGTACACTTTTGCTTCGGCCTTCTTGTATTGCCTCGTATTGCACTGCAAATTGAGGTATTTTCCCTAACTCATAGGACTAACTCCAAGAAGCCTCACACTTTAGACAGAGAAAAAACATTGTTACGCAGATATGCTTGGCCAGGTAAATTGAAACTCACCTGGTTCGGACGTAAATGCACTATATAGATGCATATATATGTTCATTTATCTACACAGGTCCTTTTTATAGTAAAATATTACATTCCAAAAAAAAAATTGATGCCCATCGAAAATGGAAGAAGGGGGTCCCATATGCTGTGGCGAAAAAAAATGACAATGACACTATATTTTGAATTTGTATTCGGAATGGATTCCATATTTTTAAAAAGCAACCGGGGAGCTTATAGGCTCGTGTAGGGATATAATTCACGAAAAGTATTCCAAAAACAACATAAATAAATAAGCTTTTTAATACAGTAACTTTACCACTTTATCAACCCCAATTCATATCCCCTTCTACATCAAACTTTTCCGAATTGCTCTAGTTGTTTTTCTTCCTTTACACACCTTAAAAAGAAACCGATTTTATATTCCCGCGTATGGGTTCCTAGAATGCTAATTTTATACTAAAAAATACATTATGTACAATACCTTTTTATGAAGCACTTGTCATTCTTATTATTTTTCGTTCATTTATTGCAGCCACCGCGACGAATTGTTAGGTATTTTCCCATTTCCATTTTTCACTCAGCTTGGTATAATTTTCATCCAGAACATGTCAATACAAGGGGAAGGGGAAGGGGGGGGAGGGGAGAGAAGGGGAAGGAGATCAGCGCCACGCACGTGTATGGGATACAATGGTGCTGACGCGAGTTCTTTCCAGGTCAGTGTTTGACTCACCTGGGGGAACGCTTCTCCGTGCCGCGCTGCCGCCTAGCCTGGATGTCCTGCTCGCTGCGGCGTGTGAGCCACCGTTTGTATTCAAACCCCTATCGGCACTCCCCTCATTTGGATCCTCCCACCTATTCCCGTCGTATTGCTTGCGACTGTTTAGGTTCGTCGTCTGCCGCTCCATGGAGAAGCGCCTATTCGACATGTCCTCATGCATCGAAGTGTTCTGAGAGAGAAAGGTGCTGGGGAGGCGGTTCGAGGACCCCCTATACGAATACCGCGCGGCCGACTCGATTCGCTGGAGGCGTTCCTGCAGCAGGCGCTCCTTCTGCCGCGCGAGATCGGCGCGGCGCTTCTCGATCATCTTGAGATGCTCCGCCTCCTGGATCTGGCGCTTGCGGCGTAGTCGGTTCTGGCGATCATGCAGCTCGAGCCAGCGCTCGTACGCGGCCTTCTCCTTCTCGAGCTCCACCGTGACGACGTAGGACTCCCGCATGAGCTCGATGTCCTGGGCCCGCTCATAGGCCTGCTGCCGACGCGCGTCGTGCATCGCCATCCGATCAATCGCGTCGATCTCGCTCTCGCTGAGCGGGAGGTGCCGGGAGAAGTTATCGGGGAGGCCCGTGAAGCGGTTGACGGAGCCGGCGCGCCGGGCGGAGTGGTAGCGCGGCGCCGCCACCGCCGAGGCGTACCGCAGGTGCTGCGCGTTCCAGTCGAACTGAGCGCTGACGGTGCGGCCGTGGGCGTAGGTGGAGA